TTCTCCCCAATCCTCATCAAAAGGTGTTTATATGTCCCCTCCCCTTGAAACTGAGCTGACCTTGTGACTGCTTTAACCAATAGAATGTGTTATTCCCACACCTAAGACCTAAGAAAAACCTGGAAGCTTTTGCTTTTGCATTTTTGAGACTCCTGAGCCACCATGTAAGAAATCAGGCTACTCTGCTGGAGAAGCCATGTGAAGTGAAGCCTTCGGATAACACTGGGAAGGAGCACGGTTTGGCCATTCCAGCATCCCAAGTTGAGCTTCCGAGTAACTCCAGCCCCAGACAATATCTGGCTGGAACCACGAGAGTCCCCAACCAAATTAGGCAACTATCCATGAGTCCATTCAACCTACAAAACCATCAGAGGTAAATGGTTACAGTTTAAAGTTACTAAATTTGGGGTGGTTTGTTTACAGCAATAGAAAACTAAAACATTCTATCCTGTGTCTAAAGGAAAGAGACCCCATGAGAAATTGTACATAGGTTCGTAAAGCTTTTGCTTGGAAATGACACAGATCACTTCTATTTCATTGGCCTTGCTGAGTTCAAAGGAACAGGGAAATGCAAGTCTACTATGTGTGTGAGAAAGTAAATGAAAATATTTAGTGACTAGCACTTATATCTCCCAGAGAGAGGTCAGGGCTAGCGAGATATATCTTCCATAAAGATGACACGTAAACCAGTAAGTAGATGAAATTTCAAGGAAAAAGGAGTTACAAAGGGAGAAAAGAACACAGATGACAAGAGATGCTTGCAGATGACCTCCTGGCAAGGAGGGATACGTATAAGGAGAAAATGGAGAGTGGAAGAGTCAGAAAAGAAACATCTATAGAAGCAAAAGGAGAAATCTTAGGATCCAAAGGAGAGAACAGAAGAGTTACGAAGAGCATAAGAGCCCTGGCCAGTTTGGCTCAGCAATTAGAGCATCAGACCTCAGACAGAAGGGTCTCTGGTTGATTCCGGTCAAGGGCACATATCTGGGTTTCGGGTTCAATCTCTGGCCCCGGTCAGGGTTGTGCAGGAGGCAACCAACTGATGTGTCTCTCTCACATCCATTTCTCTCTCTCTCCCCCCTCCTCTTCCCTCCCTCCCTCCTTCCCTTCCTTTCACTATCTCTAAAAAAAAATCAATGGAAAAATATCCTTGGGTGAAGATTAACAAAAAAAAAGGGGGGGGGGGAGAGCATAAGACAAAGGGCCAAAATTGGTGGTATAGGCAAGGAATGCATAGAAATTCAAAGAGATCAAGGTGGACTGGTGTAGCCACAGATATAGGACAGGGGTAGAATTAGAGAAGGAACTGGAAGGTAACAGAATTTTGATGGTTGGAGAAAGAAGGATACTTTCATTGAGGAAATAGCATGAGTAAATTCTTGGAACGGGAATGAACCTAGCAATCAAGGGGAATGAGACTAGATATTATAAAGGGAAATATATCACTGTAATAGAGGGTCTGTCAGGAATAACAGAAAAAGTGGATTGGGTTTGCCATGGAAGGGGAGGGCAGGGAAGCTGTTTGTGGATTTATGGAGGCCTTCAAGTGTCAAGTATCAACTGAGATTTCTGATTTCTTTCCTTTAAATATCTGAGCATCAGGGGCTTAGAATGGGAATAATTGCTCAGAGGACTAAAAAATAAAAGATGAAAAAGGGATTCAGCTATGGAGAAGCTGAGATATTTATTTCATCAAGGGTGTAAAAGAAACATTTAATTGTTTACTTCCCAAGGCAGACAATGTTGCTTACCTACCCATCATTCCCCACCCTACTTACTTCCTTGAGAACAGAACAGTACTGCTCAATTCCTCTAGTCCCTCCAAACCAATCAAGGAAAAGAAATTTACACACTCCTAATTCAGCCCCAAGGTAAATCCTGTTTGGTCTAAGCCAGTGGTTCTCAACCAGTACCATCTCTATAGGGAGTGTGTGTAGGGTGGAGGGAAAGAGGGCTTTTATGTTTGTTTTTGGTGGTGTCACAATGCCTGGGGTGCACTACTAACATTTAGTGGGAACAGACCAATGATGCTAAAGGTCCGGCAACGCATGCCACAGCCCTGCCTACGAGCTGCCAAAAGCCAAGTAAACACTAATCGGTGGTTCTCAACCTGTGGGTCGGACCCCTTTGGGGATAGAACAACTCTTTCACAGGGGTCACCTAAGACCATAGGAAAACACATATTTCCGATGGTCATAGGAACTGAGACATCGCTCCTCTATCCGTCTCCAGGCCGGTCCGCCCACATGCAGATACACCCTCACACAACATGAGGAACTATTCAAGGGTCGTGGCATTAGGAAGGTTGAGAACCACTGCACTAACCAATCATGGTAGTCCCATGCTCTTTGTCAGTTACTGCTTTAGGGAATAGCGAGTGACCCAGTTCTGGTCAGTAAGATAGAAGCAGCGTCCTGCTATAAAGCCTCAAGGGTGGTTTCTTTCTGCTGGTTGATGTTGTCCCAACTGTATGACACCTGGGACTACTACAGTCATCACCCCCCCAAAAGCAGTTTCTTCCCAATCTCCGTTTTCATCATCGGTACCTCCATCTCCTTTTTTACCAAGTTCTAAGGCAGTTTTGACCTCTAAGCCTTAACCTTCGGACGACCACTCACTCAGATTTGCCTGGGATAACAATGTGATTTTACTCCTGTTCTCCCAGTGTAGTTAACAGTGCCCCCTTTCACTTCCCAAAGTGTTACAGATTGGAGGAGGTTAGAGTACATGGTCACTTTATGCTGTGGTTGGTTTTGCCCCGTGGTCAGAACCTCGGCCCTCGGACCAAAGAGTCTCAGGTTCGATTCTGGTCAAGGGCACATACCTTGGTTGCAGTTCGGCCCCGGCCCTGGTTGGGGTTGTGCAGGAGGCAACAATCAATGTGTTTCTCTCACACTGATGTTTCTCTCTCTCCCCCTCCCACTCTATCTGAAGAGAAACAGAAAAATATCCACAGGTGAGGATTAAAAAAATAAAGATTATACGTTCACTTATTCCCAATTAAATCCTATTGACTCTGCCTCAAGAAAATACCTCTAAAGCAGGGGGTCAGCAAACTAGAGCGTGTGGGCTGTTTTTGTATCTCTAGGAAGAAAAACAAAAAATGGTTTGTCTATTTTTAAATAAAAAAAGTCAACAGAATACTGTGTGGCACCCAAAATTATATTAAATTAAACTTTCAGTGTCCATAAATAAAGTTTTACGGGAACCCAGCCGCGTTGAATCCTTCATGTATCAGCCTCAGGCTTTCCCGCTACAGGGCAGAACTGAGACAACACCTAGAACAGCAGGTTTGGCCCTTCATCGACCTTCAGCCTGCAAACCCTGCTCCCATGGCGCCACCCGTTCTGACTCCTCACTTGCTGCACAAGTGCGGTGCCCACCGACTGGTTTCCCATTCTTCCCCCACTCCAATCCTCCCTACACCGGCAGACCTCTCGAGGAGCGTGTTTTTGTTTGTTTATCCTCACTGGAGGACATTTTTCCATTTTTGTTCAAATAGAGTGGGAGGGAGCGAGAGAAACAGAGATGTGAAAGGGACACATCCAGTAGCTGCCTCCCCGCACCACACGACCCAAACCAGGGCCAGGGCAGGTCGCAACCAGGGTACGTGCCCTTGACCGGAATCGAACCCACGACTCACTGGTCGGCGGGCCCTGCTCTACCCGCTGGGCAAACCGGCCGGGGCGAGAGGAGAGTCCTGATCCGGTCGCTCGCGCTTCCCTCATCTTCAGCCTCGTTTTCCACTTTGCTCTTCGCGACCTCCAGCCAAAATGAACCGAGCACGTGCTGTTCTGCAACAAGCCTCCTTCACTCCTGCCGCCAGCCCACTGCCTGCGCGGTCCCCCCATCGCCCCCGTTCTCCCCGGGTCCACCTTCCTCCACGCATCGCCCCGCGAGCGCGGGGCAGGGGCAGGGGCGGGGGCGGCGGGGTGACTCAGCGGCACACGCAAAACAGAGCGGGCTGGAGACAGCACGTCGGAGGGTCGAGGGCAGGGTCGCGGGCGAGGGAGGGAAGGGCCCGCCGCGAGGCTTCGCAGGCACATTTAGGCTGGAATTTTAAAGGACGCGAGAGGCTAAAACTCTAGAAGGGCCACCCACCCTACGCACTTCCCTGCCCCCTTAGGCATCACCTAAGGGCTGCACACCTTTCATCTAAACCCTGAGACAACATCCTAGAGCAGCAGCCTTGGCCAAAAGCACGGGCGCGGGGCCTGCGCCGCCCGCCCGCAGCCCGGACGCCACACCCGCCGGCGCGGGCTCCCCGCGCTCTCTCCGCGCCAGGGAGACCGGCGCGTCCCCAGAACTTGGGGGCTGCAGCCCCGGCTGCGCGCCCGTGTTCCCGGCTTCGGGGCGGGCGAGACGGCGCCCAGGGGACAGGCAGACGCCCCTCACCAGTTGTGCCAGCAGTTTAAACTCTGTCGCGCCCTCAGAAGGGCGCTCCTGGCCGGGCGCCACCTCCGCGGCCGCTTCGGAGCACGTGAAGCTCCAGGGCGCAAGGCGGAGCAACAGCGAGCAGGCTCGAGTGCGCGGACGCCAACCCTGGGAAGGGAAGCAATTCCGGGGCGCACACGCACAGCGAGGGGGCTGGGCGGAGCGTGCCTCGCGGAGGGGATACGAAGGAAAGGAGAGCGCGTGGCGCTCCCGAGCCTGCGCACGCGCCGTTGCCTTGCCCCGCCCCTGCGCGCGCGCGCGCGGGCGGCACGGCATCTTTTCTTTAGTCCAGCCCCCTCTTCCACTTCAGCGATCCAAAGCCAAGAGCGAGAGCGGGGAAGTGTGGGGCGAGGTGGGCGGGGCGTCGCACGCGAGCGCGGCTAGCAAAAAAGGGGAGGAGGGAGGGAGATCCTAGACAACGTTACCCCGTCAACACCCAATCGGGAGCCGGCCTGACCCCGCCCCTCCCCTCACGCTATTGGCTGGGAGGTCCCCAAGTGGGCGGGGCTGGCAGTGGTGTTGGGGAGGGCAGGGGGCGGGGACGAGGAGGAAGGCGCTGGCGGGCAGTGATGGCGGCGGGTGATGGGGACGTGAAGCTAGGCACCCTGGGGAGTGGCAGTGAGAGTAGCAGCGAAGGCAGCAGCGGGAGCCTGGGCGGCGCGGAAGCGACAGCAGGAGGGGGCAGCTGGGCGGCAGCGGCGTTGGCGCTACTGACAGGGGGCGGGGAGATGTTGCTGAACGTGGCGCTGGTGGCGCTGGTGCTGCTGGGGGCCTACCGGCTGTGGGTGCGCTGGGGGCGGCGGGGTCTGGGCGCCAGGGCCGGTTCGGGCGACGAGAGCCCCGCCGCCGCTCTGCCGCGCATGAAGAAGCGTGACTTCAGCTTGGAGCAGCTGCGCCAGTACGACGGGTCCCGCACTCCGCGCATCCTGCTCGCGGTCAATGGGAAAGTCTTCGACGTGACCAAAGGCAGCAAGTTCTACGGCCCTGGTAAGGAGGAGCTGGAAGGGGAGAGGGAGGACCTCCTGCAGCTCAAGCGCTACCCCTTTTTGATGGTGAGGCCCCTGGGTAGTTGGCCCAGTCTTCTGGGAGGCTGGACCTCCGTGCCTTGGCTGCCGCACCTGGGACGGCCCGCCCCGCACACACCCCCAGCCGCGGGCACCTCCAGCCTGTCCCCTCGAGGAGCAGCTCTCAGCTTTCATCTTAATCCCATCCCACTTCTCCTCGCAGCGTTTTCTGGCGCCGAATTTTTCGAAATCCTTTTGGTTGTCGCCAGACACGCCTGGCCCCTCAAGCTTTCCGGAGCTGTCTGACTGCTGGGATGGGTCGGGGCCGGAGGCAGGGAAGAGCACTAAAGGAGGGACCTGAAGTTACAGTTCTGGGCCCTGTGATTCACAGTTTGCCTCTGTTTACTCTTTTTGCCACTGAACTCCCTTTCCCCACTACTACTGTCCGTAGGGCCACGTTTCAGTACACGTAGTTAGTTCCAAGCCCCAGCGCTGTAGTCTGTGAAGTCTGGGCATATAAACAACACCTCAGACTTTTTTTTAAAACCAGTTTTTGTATGGAGATGCTTTCCAAGATTAACAGTGTATGTGGGATGAGGACAGACCAGAATGAAGATCTTAAGAAAGACTAGCAAGGGTATTCGCCCCGGGTTTTGGGGGTGGAGCTCCTATACCCAGCAGGCATGCCCGACTGGTATGTTGTTTCTTGTTGTTTCTTCTTCTTCTTCTTCTTCTTCTTCTTCTTCTTCTTCTTCTTCTTCTTCTTCTTCTTCTCTCTCTCTCTCTCTCTCTCTCTCTCTCTCTCTCTCATATTTATATTTTTGTAGTACGAAGGCAAGTATTCAAATACTTCATGATAATGACTTACTGTGTTTTCACAGAGGAGAAAAAAACTTTAAAAAGCTATAATTTAATACCTTCCATGCACCAGTTTTGCAAGTTAAACATGTTTAGAACTTTGCTTTCAGAGAACTGTGTGTGTAAGGTAGTTGATGTAGAAGTCTTTTTGATATGTAGTTATACAATCGTTGCAGATACTGCTAATAAGCTTCAGTGCGGACTCATGGATCCTGTTGGTGTAACCATAAAATTGAGCAACATTGAACATTCCTGGTTGTGTGGTAATTAATTCTAAACTTTAAAAAAAAGTGAGGACAAAAAGAAGTCAGTAATGAAATTAGAGACCTAGAGTGAGTTATTAAAAAAGAGTACTTCCAAGCCTTGAAGTCAAGGAGGTTGGCAAGTCTGAAAGACAAGTTGGTTTCCTCTTTGATTCAGTCTGCTGGTGCATGAGATTCATTGACACCTGCTAATATATACTTCTGATTTCAGTACTTGGTGGCTGGAAAAGAATTTAGAAGTGCTTTGGTGTGTTGTTTGGTAGTTAGAATAGAGATAAGAAATTGGAGATTTTATGTACTGAACTATTTCTTGGTTGCTTGTATTTTTGTGTGTATGTTTACATTCAACCATACTAAGTCGTAGATAGCTTATACAGTATTTGCTTCTAGTTATATGAATATGAAAAACAGATGGCTTATGTCAGTGGAAATGATTAATACTTATGTCAGCTGAAATGGTTAATACTTTCTTTGTTTACTTAAGAGCATGTGAGACATGAAAATAGGGCCAAAGTACAGTATTTAGATGCACAGACCAAATTAAATACAGTATTTAAATTTTTTTTTTTTAGGTAAGGATTTACACAGTATTTTAGCTCAAGTTTTTTACCCATTAATATTAAAATGTGTGTTCGGTGGTTATAAATTGTGTTTAGGTTTAGATTTTTAATATGGAGCTTACCCAACTAAAAGGTCTGCCTTTATAGCCCCTCTCTAAACTGACAGTGAAACAAAGTTTTATTGCAAAGAAGCATGTTTGTCCTCACACGTTATGCCTTGCCACCATCTGAAAATAGCTAGGAAAGACAGTCATAGACACAGTTTGGCAGCCTCCAGCGGCAAATGTTCTGCATCAGAAATTAAAAATTAAGATAAGAGTCATAGGTGTAAGGTAGATAGCCTTGTGTGGCTTGAGCAGTGAGGGGACTCCTCAGATAACAGCGGAGAAGTCAGCTTTAGGTTAGCTTCCACGGATTCCCAGCCTAAGTGATAGCCATTTGTTCTGTTCTAGGTATTTATTAATCAGCAACCTAATAGAGATATTTGGAATATTTTAATTATTGAAAGGAACCTTAAAAGTAGCTGGATCATCCTATGGGCTTGGAATATGTAAAAGATGTAGCAATTTGCAAAAGTCTTGAAACCAAATTTGGCTATGAAACAGATATAAATTCAGTTTTGGTTTTGATTTTGATTTTCATCCATAAATCAATTAAGCAGTTTTGTAGCAGAATAATTTAGAAGCAGTAATCCTTATCTGTGAATTTTAATAGCTTGAAAGAATGAGCTAAGGGTACCAGAAAGCCTAGTTTCTATGCCTAGCCAGTATCTACTCCCAGTTTACAATACTGGTTTTAGAGTTAAAGATTGTTTTCTGAGTATTTTCTTTTTTCTATGTTGAAGATATTTCTTTTGTCATTTTTAAAGTTCAGGTTCTTAAAAAAATTAAATATTGACAATTTAATGGATAAGCACATGTTGGCAAACAGTTGACATTAACTGCACTTGTCAATATTAAATTTAGTGATCGTTCAAACACTTGGCCAGCATGTGAGGAAAGTGGTTACGTGAGAAACAATGAATGTGGGAGGAGAAGTAAAACCAGATTTATTAAGCACTCACTACATCAGATTCCTTAATTTATCATCTGCACAATGCCTCAGTGAGGTTAGTGGGTATTACTGTCCTTCAGATGGGGGGGTCTGAGGTTTTGGTATTTTGGGTTAATTAGGTTGGCTCACACAGACATGGCATTCAAATCCAGATATTTTTTACCACAAGGCTGTCTATACTATTTCAGATAGACTGCTATTTGGGATAAACTTGTAGAGAATCTTACTGTTGTTTTTTATACACTCTCATGGCTTTATGTTGTACTGTCCAATATGGTAGCCACAAGCCACATGTGGCTTTTTAAATTAATTAGATTAAATATAATTGTGAATTGAGTTCCTCATTCACACTAGCCACATTTCAGTTGCTCAGTAGCCACATGGCTACCATATAGAACAGTGAACTCCATAGGGCATTTCCATCTCTGAAGATGTTCTCATTTTACAGATGTGGAAAGACACTCAGAGAGGTTTTGCCCACATATCAAGTAAATGCAAAGCTAGAAATGAAACCCAGTGAACTGGCTTCATAAGCCGTCCCCTTTCCCATTGTGTCACAACATAATTTCACAGGTTCCCAGAGTCAACAGATTAGGAAGATTCAAAAAGTATAATTTTAAGTAATTTGATTTACTGTGACTGCCATTGGAACTCTACTAAAAACAATGTTTTTATTCTTTAGGATGGCAAGAGATTATACGATTTACCTTTGTAATTGTTTATCCCATGTTTCTGAAATTTAGATGTATTGCTTACCCCTCATTCCTTGTAGAAGATTTTGATGTATACTGAAGCTGTATTTTCTTCAACTTAACTTTTAAATTATGCTGGAAGGAAAAATAAGTCATACAGCCCTAGCCAGTTTGGCTCAGCAGTTAGAGCGTCGGCCTGCGGACCAAAAGGTTGAGAGTTTGATTCCTAGTCAAGGGCATGTACCTGGGTTGCAGATTCGATCCCTGGCTCTGGTTGAGGTCATTCAGGCAATCAATTGATGTGTCTCTCTCACATCAATGTTTCTTTCTTTCTCTCCCCCACCCTCCCTCCCTTCCTCTTCCTCCCTTCCACTCTATCTTAAGTCAATGGAAAAATATTCTCAGGTGAGGATTTATATACATACAGACATATATACATACATACATAAGTCATGCATAAGAAGTACCCAATGAGATATCTAATATTTGGGAGGTTGAAGAAAGGAACACATGTGCCTTTTAAGTGTTTTTCCCTTTTTTAAAACTTTATCTTCAATATGTTCCTTTATAGTTTGCAGAATTGCAGTTGAAGCGAGTTATAACATACAGACCAGGCCCCACCTGACCTACTCCTTCATGGATGTGCTATTGACACTACCCAGGTCTCATCCCATTCTTGCTTGGAAGCCAGCTGGGTCTGTTGTTCGGGCTTAATGTCCATTCACATCCATTGCCTACCTGTAAGATAACAGAATCACCTTAATTTTCTGATGAATTTTAAGTCTGCTCAAATGTATACATACTATTTTTTTTCTATAGTACCTACTTGGTTGGCTTCTCTGAGTTCAACATTTGAGGAAATTTTATTTGTGTTAAATACTATCTCAAAGTATAAAAGGATAGCTTAAAGCACATTTAAGGGCAGAAGATGTTATTAGAGCTGGAAGAGTAGATTTAGTAACATCTGGAGTTAGCCATTCATATTCTTTTAATAGTTCTTTCGATCTTTGACATAGCCCACCCCCACTCCACCCCCAACCCATGACAGACATCACTAAATCACTGCTGGACTCTTAGAACCTGCAGCCTGTCTCAAGATCGTTAATACAGGGTTTCAGCTCCATTTTTAAATACTAAGGAGGAGTTTCCTGGATTTCATTACAGTGCTACTTACAAGTTTTCAGATTTGCCTTCAGCCTTTGTTTGATTATTATTAACCTCAGGGTTTCTTTTTCCATCCTTTTACTTTCAACCAATCTGTGTTATGCTTCATTTTTTCTTTATAAATAACCAATAGCTGGATTTTTTTCATTGACTCTGTTATCAACACTATGTTTTTCAACAGCTTAATCAGGTTATTTATACCATCTTATTTATTTCTCTTTGTCATACTTTTCTTTACCTCTTTTTCCCACCTTTTTTTCCTTTTCAGATAGATTTTTTAAAATTCCTTTTACTTTTTCCCCTACTGAGTTGGATGCATTCTATTTCTATTCTTTTGGTGATTTACTTACATTTTTTACTAGAGACATCATTATTCTAAACAATATAAGAATT